TTCAGAGCATTCAGAGTCGCTTACCTTTCCAGTGGCCAAGTGTCTGAATCGGAGTTGGTCGACCCAGCAAGCTGAACCTCCGCGGCAAGGATCCTCTCTGACGAGCAGAACCTCCCACAGGCCCTTGGAGCTTTTGGCGGTCGTGGCTGCCTCTCTACCCGTGGTCCTGTGGAGGATGCTCTGACTTGGAATCAATCGCTTTTCCCTCACCGGGGCTCGTTCCCAATCCCGCGGAAGGGGAAATCGGAATCTGCGGCGCCTCCTGAGAAATCTCACCTCAGGAAAACGAAGAGATCACCACTGAATCGGTCCAGCGTGAGGAATTTTTTCTGTTCCTCGTGGAAAAACCTCACGACGTCACCAGCTTTCAGAACGCCGTCGAGTCTCTCGGAGGAAGTCATGAAGCGGAGGATCGTCCATGCTGTCGGCCCGCTCGTCGGTTCAGAAACAGCGGTGACCTGAAGGAGCAGAAGTCGACGTGCAGCCGAGCGGCCGGATACGACATGCACGATCGCCGATGTGCCTGCTCGAGCCATACCCGCGAAACTCCGCCCACTTTCAACTAGTTCTCGAGTAAGAACTCCGGATTCATTGTATATTGGCCCCCGTCAAAACCAGTGAAAATGGGTGGAGGGGAAATTCTCGGACCACAAGAGGACAATCGTCGATGCTGTCTAGATGTTTCTACTACTGTGTCAATCACGAACCTTTCTGCATCCTCGCTGGGAGATCACCCCTTCATTTGAAACTTGTAGCGCTTCCCGAGCGATAAGCGTTTCAAAAACGACTTTGTCGCCGGCTCGCACAGCTCCCACGATCGAAGAGCTCTCCGATGATTGGATTGCGAAGGATGAATTCTCGTTAGCGTCGAGTCCGAGGCTTATTGCCGTCTCTCCCGCAGCGAGTCGCTTCTCTGAGGTGAGGTACCTGGAGGAGGACTCTTGATCTTCCGCAGCTGACTCTGATCACCCCCACCCCTGATCGATGCCCTAGGAGAAGGAGCGCTCACGAACGCGAACACTAACTTGTTCGAACGCAAATGAAGTAGTCGTATCCCTTCACCGTAGCGAACGCGTGTATCACCGCGGTCTCCGCGAGCTTCCTGCCGACATACAATGGCCATTCCAGTAATGTGAATCGTCGGGGGTCCACCTTCGAATTCGGAATGGGAATACCGACCTGCGCTTCGCTTTCTTCTATAGGACATAGTATGAAACAGCAGTCGCCAAAGCTCCGGGGCGGATTATTGATGTCTCCTGCGTGATTATTCACCACGCAGCCATTTTCGAGGAGGCTGTATCGGGGTTATAGTCTTGTGAGCTCCACGGCTTCAAACATTCTGTGTCATATATTATACCTACGTAGTTAGTATTTCTCCCTATTCTCGATTATCTCAAGTTGCGTTTCGGAAGCCCGAGTTCCGGTCGGATTGAGCGCGTTGGCGCTAGCCGGGGAGAAGAGAGAGGATTCTCGCATGTGCTAATCAGTGAAACTGGAGGAAGTCTTGCAACCGGATGCTTTCCTCGGAAAGTTTTCCGTCACGGGAGGGCTCCGTTTTTCATACGATAATCACGCTGGAGCACTGAGTTATGCAGAAAATCATGAGTTCAGTGAGGGTTTTCAAGCTTCCAAGCTTCGCTACTCCCCTACCTCTGAGGTGATAGAAATACGGAGGACTCCCAGAGAAATGGGAAGATCTATAAATGCGATTCTTCGAGCAATGAACGCATCGTGTCGTATAATCAATGTTAAAAGGTCCGTGATATATGATCTTACCCGAGTGTCGAAAGAAAGCCCTTGTGATCACTCTCGGAGTACAGTGAAACAACGTCCCCGAAATGCAACGAAGGATCCTTAAGCTCCATCCCTTGCTTAGATAGCCGTACAGAGGGATTATTCACACGTGTCGGAGTCGATTGACGCGCACACGCAGCGTTGTGGAACGGTGTAACTTCGCGTCTGGAAGCATGAATCACGAGAACATGGATAATTATTGGACAATCGTCGAGGGCTCCCATCCTCCCCAAATCCTGCGCGTATCTGGGATGCGACTGTCAGGGAAATCATTTCTGGTCTTGGCTGGGATGAGCGCAGGCTGTGACGGCATTCGCAAGAGTCTGAAGACAGTTCCAGTTCGCGTCTGCTGGGATATGACGGCGCCGGAGGATCCGAAGTCTCATTCGGGAGTCCCAGCCGATAGTCGGATTGGATGTAGCCGTGAAGCACCATGCGAATCTGTACCGGCCGCTAAGCTGATCAATCTGATGAATATTCCATATCGAGCAATTTGAGCTCTTGCTCAATTTACTCAATCAGACCATTTCTCCCTCAACCAGCCTCAGGAATGAATACAGCGAGCCCTCGTTTTTCGCGGCCAATTGGTTTCGAGGCCTTCCGCGAAAATCGAATTTCCGCGATTTTGAAGTCCCTTTTTAGGAACGCCTAATTTTTGATGAAATCTCGCAGATTCCTCCCGAGACTTCCATCAAACTCTCACAACATCCGCCAAGAGCCGTTGATCGCAATGGCCGGAAAGATATTTTTGATATCCATATGCGTGTATGTACATATGCACTAGAACGAGAGCCGCGAATTATTGACAATGAGACCGCGGGTATCATACCGCGAATAATCGAGGGCTCACCATCATCAGAGATCAGCGAATCATCAAGATCGCGGAAATCAAACCGCGAATAGTCGAGGGCTTACTGTACACTCGATATGTTCAGAGAGCGGACCGAATCGAGGGAATTTTGGAAATCGTCTCCCTGGCGTAATCCATCTGTAATGGAGCTATTGAACTTACGATGATGACGATCACCAAGTGACGATGTCATCGAGGTCACTCAAGCGGGAAGAGTTGCTTTAGCTACAACACGTACGATTCATGTTTTCCTCAATGCATTTAGCATATTGTCGAGACGGTTTTCTCCTATGACACCGACGACCCCGTCGATACTTTGCATCTGAAGAGAGTCGAGTATTTTTCGATGATCGATAGTTCTCGATCACCGATTCGAATCCCTTTCGCCGGTTTTCCTGAGACAAGGATCGCTACAGCATTATGGCTTATGCTGGACAACCTATGTATGTGCCCAGGAGTGATTCTTCATGCGCCCTTTGCTCGATCCAATCAAGCCAAGGTGTAGTCGCGCCCAGATTCGGAGAGCGCTTCACCCAAGAATTCTCGGAACGATTTCGTCCGAACGCGCGAGATGTCACTTCGCGCTACGAACCATCCCTTGTCGGAAGGGGCGCTCGTCTCTCAACAAAATTTCCACCGAAGACGACTGATTGAATGTGACGTCATATGAAATTCGGGAAAGGAACATCAGATTTCTTCCTGAGAACGGAAAAGCCGGCTCCGCAAAGAGGGCACAGCGGAAGCGGGAGCTCTCTGACTTGATCAGACTCGATATCGAGAACTTTTCTCGGTACTTACCGAATTGTCCCGTCTTCTCGTTGCACTTGTCCCAGCAGAGTTTCGATGAAGATTCTCTGGGTCGAGCGAAGACCGTTTGGAACTTGAGGGATGTATCTCAGTCCGCGAGCCCTCCTCGAGGCGGAGAGAGAGCAGCAAGCGCGTTCGCGCGATGAGTGCGGAGCTAGTCGTCGCTAGGATGACGCTAGCGTGTGGAAGGGAGCCAAGTGGGAGATTTAGTTGACCGACTGTGTTTTCGGTGAAGCTGTTCGCAAGCAGCACAAGTCTGGTTTAATTCTCGCACACTGCGCAGGGAAGACTGTTTTTCCGTCTGCCGGGAAGCGCCTTTCCAGGTGGTCTATTCATCATGAGCGACGGTCACGGCTTTATCGAGCTGGCTGCTGTGACGATACGATTCTCTGAGTCCATACCTCTAGTATTTTGAAACATTCCCTCGACGATGAAGCTTGGACGGTTCATGAGGACCTTAAATCTACACTGGACGTTTCGGGGAGCCGATATTCGTATCCTCGAAGAGGAGATGGCTGATCGTAGATCATCCTCAAATCTTTCCAGAGACTACGGTTTTTCCACACGGGAGAAACTCGATCGTCTTATCCTTTTCCCTGACTTCAATCGACTCGGACGGCGAATACTTCAACTTAAGGGGGCAGTCGCCGCAGAGGAAAGTGATTTCGAGGCAAGCGAAGGCTCGCGACTAGGACGATCGGGTTTTTTCCCCGAAGATTGAGCTTTCGCCAATCATTCCGACGATACTCCCCCGGCGTCTGCGAAGGCTTGATTCGATGCGCAGCGCGAGAGATTACGAAAGCTGGAGAATAGCCGGCAGGTCACATTAGGTCCGCTCATCACATGCAGGTCTCCTTTGACCACATTGACCCTGTCATCCGTGGGAGGTTTCTTGTCTGAATCGTGTGGTCGCTCCCTTCGGAAAGGCTTTGCTTCGGGGGTTTGAATTCCCTCGGAACATATGGTTCGCTCGGGGGAACGCTCGGGGAACGCTGCCTGCCGAGCGCGCTCAGCAGAATCTCGCTGCGAGGCGCGCTGGGGTACTCATTACCCACTTCCTACTTTATCAGAGGGGCCGTCGATCACAGTTCCGCTCATCAAGGAATCTCCCCCTCGAGGGAGGTGCTCGTGGAGCGAATCGAGCGGCGCGCCACCGTGGCACGGGAAGTTACGAGGGATGGCGATATTCTGAGATTCTAAGCGATCACTGACAACGGGAGGGGTATGGCTGAGCTGGTAGGCGCTCGGGCCGGAAAATCTTCCCTCGATCTCGTAGGTACAGTCGCAGCTCCGGAGTTGGATCGATCGCATTGGGTCGAACTCTGGAACACATGTCAGGTGCTACCTCATGGAAACCGAATCTCGACCCCCGAAAGTCAATTCCTCTCCCGATTCCTGCGACACTATCAGAGAGGCGCCCCTCGTTACATTCATCGTCATGATATTTCAGTCAAAATCACTCAAGATGACTGAATAGCTAACGGCCCCATCGAATGACGACCGCCGAAATTCGAATTCTGCTCTCTCTCATCCCGTCCGGGATCACGTGGTTTTGTTTACACCACCAGCTGCACGTGTGTGGGTGCGCCTCAACCGTGCTCCTCAATCTCAATAGGCTCACTTACTTGTCGAGTTTTAGTGAATTCCTTTGCACAATGGGCAAGGCTGACAGGATAGTAGTGACCAAGCGAGTCCGCCATGCTCCTCTGGCCGATCAGATGGAGTCCGACGAAGTTGTCACCGGTTCAGGACGGACGAAGAACCGCCGGAAAAAGGACTCCGACGTTACCAACGATGAGGTATGCCGCTTTAAGCTCGATAGCTAAGGGGAAAGAAATGGACTGCTGGAAGGGGCTCTACGTGAATTCCTCAGCGATAGAGAGGGCTGCGAGGTCTCGTAACGACTGCAGGAGTTCCGTCCCAGCCAATCCTCTACGGATTCGAACTACGCATTGTTCGATTTTTGCAGTATGTGGGATCACGGCTCAGTAAGAACATATTAGCGCAAGCCCGGCAGCAGCAGCAAGCTCTAGAAGAGTCTCATGAAACTCCTGAAGACTCCGACCGAGGACGGAGATCCCATAAGCGAGATCGGATGCAGACTTCAACATTAGCATCCGATTCTGAAGGTGAAGCTCACTCTCTTATGAACCTTCCCTTGCGACTCGCTGGATCGTAGTTCTGCGATTCTCTCTGCGATCGAGAGGTCCTCATTACGGGGTCATGATGACGATTCCCATTTATCCCCAGGGGAGGACTTCGAGGAGAGCCAGGAGCGCCAAGAGTACGATGCGGAGAACTTCGAGATAGATGAAGATGCGGCCCGACAAATGGAGCTGTTTATGAACATGAAACAAGTGAGGCCGATGCTTATGCGTATTCTCGATCCCTTGTCCGTCTGCCGATCTCATGAGAGCCATTCATTCACCCCGTTCTTTACTTGCAGGAACAGCGAAAAACCTTAGCCGATATAATCATGGAGAGACTCGCCGCTAAATCGAGTGAGATAAAAACTCAGTTCTCTGACGGCGCTCACGTCGAAGATATGGATCCGAAGGTGGCGGAAATGTACGACGGTGTGAGGGTATTCCTATCCAGATACCGCGCCGGCAAGCTACCGAAAGCATTCAAGATCATACCTTCACTCCAGAATTGGGAACAGGTTAGTACATAGCGCGACAGGTGCAGGATATGAAATCGACATCAGGATGAATCCGAAGGGCTCTCGATCTACTGGTGCAGAATGTACTCAAGCTAAAAGGGAAAGTAATTACTGTTTCCCCTATCTAGGTTCTGTTCTTGACGGATCCAGACAATTGGACGGCGGCCTCGGTATACCAAGCCACGCGGCTTTTCGCATCGAACCTCAAAGAACGCATGGCGCAGAGGTTCTACAATCTCGTGCTTCTTCCTCGGGTTCGCGACGACATCGACGAATACAAACGGCTGAACTTCCATTTGTACCAAGCTTTGCGGAAGGCGATTTTCAAGCCCGCGGCTTTCTTCAAGGGGATCATTCTCCCGTTGTGTGAGGTATGGCTAACGATCTCTATCGCTGGTCTATGGAATCTTCAAATCAAGAAATTTTTCCCACTCTCTAATTCTGTCGCAATGATGATGGATTTCCAGAGCGGCACGTGCACTTTGCGAGAGGCAATTATCGTGTCGTCGGTGATCACGAGGAATTCAGTACCATATCTTCATGCCTGTGCGTGCATGCTAAGACTCGCTGAGATGGAGTACAGCGGAGCCAATTCCATTTTCCTTCGAGTTCTCATCGACAAGAAGTACACGTTGCCATACCGTGTCGTTGATGCCCTTGTGTATCACTTTCTCAGGTTTGTGAATGCCCGGGCTCGGTTGATGTCAGATCGTTTATTCCGTTAATCACCGATCTCGCCCATAAGCTGGAATTTCTTCCACAGATTTGAGAACGATCGGCGGGAGCTACCTGTTTTATGGCATCAGTGTTTTTTGACCTTCGCTCAGAGATACAAGCAGGACGTTTCGGAGGAGCAGAAGGAAGCTCTGCTGAAGCTGCTGAAGGTTCATAATCACCCGCAGATCACCAATGATATTCGATACGAGCTGAACAACTCGACTTGTCGAGAAAGCTCCTATCAAGCTGAGTCCATGGAGTAAAATAAATGGGATAAAGAGTTGAGAAGAGGTCTAGTCTCGTGAACGAAATTCCAGTGGTCGATCTTGATCGGGTTATGAGCTCAGTCCGCTGGGAGCGCGGGTTGTGTTTGCGCGCCTCTAGAAGGGTTCTTCAGTGTGATCAGTTTCAGTTCCAATCGGATTGGAGGCTGTTCGGTCTCGGATAGGAGTTGCCATTCAGCACGTAATTCTTAGTGCTGATATGATCCCTCTGCTCTGACGGAGATCGGGTATTCTACCAGGTGGAGCCGCACCGTGCGGCATTCTCTCATCCTCCACCTCAAGCTCGGAGTTCCGCTATCCATGACACGGGCTGTCCCGATTCATGTTTTATTTGGTAGTGCCTCCGAAATGCGGCTATACAATACTGGAGGATGATTGGCTTGCTCACCCGCTCCGTTGGATATCCGCCTTCGTGACTGCTGCAAGCTTGCATTCCTCCGACTCCGGGTCCATGTTGCTCGTATGGAGGACTTCATCCCTCATCACGATCGGCTTACATCGACGGTTTTGAGAGCCGGCCGGGACCACTTTTCTCGAAGCTAGCGTCTGACGTTCCATGACTCTCCCAAAGATGCTGTCCGACACGTCTCAAAACGGGAGACAGTCGGGCCAGCCGCGATACGCAGGATAATTTAGAGGCTCGGGACCGCGTACTCAGTCAGACTCTCTGAATGTCTGAACTGTGAATGTTCCTGGAATCTATATTTGCCTCCCTTCCCATCTCGATATGCTTGTTCACAACCGCCTTGACCCTCTCTCGGTGAGCCAGGAATGTTCTCGAGCTCCCCCCCCTGGATGAATCTTATTCGGAAGTATGATGAGTGAGAGATTTTAGGATGATTCAATCCTTCATCAGGTTTCCCTCGACAAATCCCGCCGCTCGGGAAAGGAGTGTTTAATCATTGCCATACTTCTCGATGCGCGGAGTTCTTTCCAAACACACAAAAGGATGTCATTCCATCTCCGACTGAGCGCGTTGAGGTGCAAATAGCGCGACGCCTCGTGTAGAATCTGGGAGCGTGATTATGGCGTTAAGAGGAGATACAGTTTCCCCAATGAACAGGCGGAAACGTCGGATGTGAGGAGCACTGCAAGTTTTCCTGTTGAGCAGCGGAGCAATCGAGTCATAAGAAATCATTTAGATTAGTGTTAGTATAGGGCCCCTTATTCGAATCGGCTGCGTGAACTCCGCTATGTTCGGCTCACTTCTGTTCGGCCGATTTGCCCTCCTCCAAAGCTCCTCTTTAGCTGCCGCCGCAGCTGCCGCTGCTGTCCATAGTCCAGTTCGGACGGCAATCCTCGTGTAGTTCACCCGAGTCCGAATAGCCGAGTCTTGCTCGCTGTCATGGAAACGCTCGGTCTCCGATTCGACAAATGAGCGCTGTGGAACAACAGTCATAACTGTCTGCGATTCGCGTAAGTTATTTCCTCTCTTTTTTTTCTGACAATCTCATCGATGGCTCGAGACCCGTGTCAAAGGTTCCCTATCTACGTTCACTGCTTTCTCGAGTAGCCTGATCCCTTTTCTCTCCGACGGAATCGCTGTAACACGCAACCGCAGCTGGCATTTGGGCCAGGCTCCTCGACCACAAGTCGCGAACCCTGAAAGACGTCGATTCCTCCTCCCATGATTTGTGGGCTTCAGTGTCAATGATGAAAGCAAGAGTTTTTCTCGGGGATCCAGAGTGGCCCGGAGCCATCTCCGAGCATCAAAGTATCCTAAAACTTAAAGGACAATTTTATTATACTGTCATTTGACAATTTTCCATAAAATCTGTCTCTCGGTTCAATTTTTTGCATTTTCAAGATCGATTCCATGTGCAGAGGGCCAAGTCCTTATTTTTGATTATTCATGATTCCGGACCCTCACTCACGACAGTCTGTAGCGGGTCAGGCTGCATTTAGTCGTCGCTCCAATCTGAGGAGCCCGGAAAGAGCCAGCTAGATGACTCGAATCTTAAGGTCCGCATTTCCTTGAGGCAAGTCACCTTCCTCGCAAACAGGCTCAAGAGGCGAGGGTATGGTCTCTGTCGAGTTGTAAAGCGATAGCGGTGGAAAAATCGCCTCCAACGTCGACATTTCGCTATCCCCGCGCTTACGGAGGGAGGAAAAATCGAGTCTTGCGCGGGCATAACACGGGTGAGTTCCGGAACCCCGGTGGAGGACTACGCCTACAAGATCAGAGGAGGAGGTTTCTCTGCTCGAGAATTCACCGCTAGCTAAAAGTAAGGATCCTCCGTACGATGTTTCGGATAGGGAATTTATCAGAGCCTCTGGTTAGACTCGATTGTCGAGAGAATGGAGCGCCGACTCTTCCAGAGAACTGGACACCCTTCCGACTTCGAGCTCCGCTCGAGCCTCCGGCCTTTTTTATTTGAGGATCGCTGGAAATACAATCACTTGTGGCGTTCTGTCGTGAACGCTACTCGTGCCTGAGTAGGAGTAGTCTGTGCCTCGTCCCGTGGAATCTGCAGGGCCTGAGGAAACGGGGAGACTCTGCCGAAAAGGGAATTCTCGGTGGAGACAGCTCGCTCACTCATGGTTCAGGGACTCAGGGAATCGGTCTGCTCCCTCGGTCTGTTTGCGTCATCTCACGAACTGTCATCAGATACGGCGGAAACAGGGCATGGATTTTGCCGTGTGGAAGCTGCTCCATTAATAAGCCTTAGGCCGAGTTTCCGCAAGGGAGTATATCTCCAAGAATTCTTACTCGTTTCAGCAGCTCGGTGTCGTCATTCGCAAGCTCCGATTGATATGCTAAGCATGGCCAATTTGAGCGCGTGGGAGCACTGTATCAAAAACACTTCGTTCGCTCGAGTGGTGCTCTTGTTCGGCGGCACTCATCAACGCGGTAAACTGACGAGCCATCGACCAACAGAGTGGATGTACAAGCGAGTTAGTCTCAAGGAATTCACGTGACCATCTTACAGCCCATCAATTCTCACAATCAGTGGTCGACTTGCTGTTTATTTCCTCTCCTTGCTGAGCATTCATACCGGGTTGGAAATCATGCCGATTTGCGGCGTGGCTCCCATGAATATTGCTCATTCCGCGAGGAGCAGCAAGAGGACAAAAAAACACCGGCTGCCAGTGATCGCTTTTCGGCGCAAAACAAATGGGTGGACTGCGGCAACAATAAAAAGTCTGGACGCTGCTCGAACATTACTGGCGAATGAGCTTCTCCCGCGCCCAGCGAGGCGCCGATTTTTGCTGCAAATTCCGCAGTCATGACAAAGCAAAATTCGCCTCATGGCTCATTCAGCACCAGGTGGCGACGAAGTGGTCGTGGTGCCGTCACTCAAGCCGAGTTTGTCGAAAAGGCGTTGGTGACGTTGACATCGACCAAGCGATCGAGTCGCAAAGCTCATTCCGTGTTTACAATAGCACCGGTTGACAGTCCTGACAGCTTCCACGGGACGGTCGGGCCAAACCGAACGGCCACTCATCTTGCAATAATCTCGTACCCGGTTTGGGCAGGTGCCATTCCGCGTCGATCGTTATCGATCGCAATTGCCCGTGTGACTGCTGACTAATGATTCGTCTGATTACCAGAATCTGATCTCTTGTCGGAAGCCACCTCCTAATCAGCCGAACGTGGAGTCTGATGCGAAGTGTCCATTCTAAACTCTCAGACCTTGGGTATCAAAGCAGGCTTCGAGAGTGTACGTATATCGAACCCTGACGAGACAAATCACGATCGGCAGTCACCGAGATCATTGAATAGGAACCGAAATCAACATTCTGTGTTTGAATCGAAAGGACCGACAAGACGCAACTCAAGTGTCAATCAGCCAGAGCAGGCGACTCGCTAACCAAATATTCTCACTCGGTCCGACAACTCCCATCAGTCACGAGGGGAATCGAGGAGAAAAAGTCTGTTCCGTCGCCTCGAGTGCTTCCTTGCCGCCAAAAGCATAATGGAATTCAAGCAGAATGCGACCCGCGGACAACTCCGTTTCTTACTCATGACTTTGGCACTTGGCTTTCTACCAAAGTCACTCATTGCGAGCGGGCGAAAAGCGAGATAGGTGTTTTTATAGCTCAAAAGCAAGTTAGGGAGATTTTTTCCCCCGTCGATCAAATTCGAAGCAGAGACTCTGATCTCTGCCGCTCACGATGGACCAAGTTTCTTTTCGTACTGATCGAGCCTAAATGAGGCTCTATCGATGGATTGACGCTTTCAATTTGTCGGATCGAGGCATCATCGGACCAATATATCCGAGTGCTGTTCTTAATCGACCGAAGACTCGGATCAGTGGCCGACGATGGGGGAATCGATTGATCTCTCGAGGAATAAGGCGAAAGTGAATCGCTCTCTCTAAATTCGGGGCTGACAAGGGTTACACCTGGGAGAAAGAAAGCGATGCTCATCATCCCTCTTCATTCAGGCGAGTAGCCGATCTGCTGGCGATTCAATTGAGAGCAGCTCTCAGTAGTGTATGACTGTCGTTCTCGAACGCGACTACTTTCGCCCGGTGAATCGCTAACTCAGCGCGATATTTTCTCGCCGGCTCCTCGTTTTCCCTCTCTGCCGCTTCCGCCAAGGACGCGAATCGACGTCGGATGCCGTCTGCGAAGTCGCTGTGCGAAGAGCGTTGACTGGGCGGACACGGCGGCTGCGAACTGAAGCGAAGAGCTTGGCGCAACAAACGCTCACCCAGACCGTCGACGGACGGGCGAACGAGCGAACGAACGAGCCGCTGAAGCAGTCGTTCTTGTTTTCGAGTGATCCGGTGGAAATCATGGTCTGAGTGATAGCGAGCCCCAGTGTTCAATGTGCGTTTCCCGGAATCCGCTCGGATTCTAGAGCTTACGGGGGATTTCTGTGGAGTGAGATCGATTCATTGCTGCGAGGCGCGAATTTCGGGATTGCACCACACCGGTAGTCCCGGAGTAGCCCTCGCGACCGCCTGTCGTGTTTCCAGCTCAACGATGAAGTCAGGAGCGACCGCAGAACTTTAGATTTGAGAATTGCTTCAGCGAAAACTCACAAAATAGAGAAATTCCTCCAACTTCAATATCATTCGAACGCGCCGTCCGAGAGGAGAAGGCAAGTTGTGACAATGATTCGCGTTACTTACTCAACAACTCAAGCTTGGTCGATCGCCCTTTTCTCGGGATTCGATTCATTACTGGGGTCACAACCTCGGAGTGCGACCAAGCGGGATGTTCCGCGGGCTTACCCGCTGGTATGAGAGAGCACTGGTAACTACTATGGAATTTGGGCGGGCAGCACCGTCGAGCTCGCCGAAAGGGGCGTGGTTGCGGATTCTTGAACCCCATCCCTGCTTGCGGTGGCATGATATGAGGAGGTGTCCTTAAGTCACGTGCTCTGTGGGAGTATCCCATTAGATGTATGCTTAAATAATTTCTCATCGCAATCATTCGTTTCGCGGGTGTGGTCCATCCACGTGATAGCTGGCGGCGCGGCGCCGGGCACTGTTATTGCTCAGAGATCGTTATTTGCCCAGATCAGATTTTTACAAACGGGACCATTCACGGGTGCTCGGGGCGCTGATCCATTCGGCATCGATCGCGAATTATGTCGAGATATCGCTTGACTCCCCACAAACAGGACTTATCTCCGCACGAGTTCCGGCGTCAGAGCGCCGAGAAGTGCCTTATCTGTGTTATGCTCAAACAGAAAAATTCACGGATTAGATCGCCTGATTGGGTACTCGGGGATTCGACGGGATGCACGCACAGGATGCTCGATACGATGTATACAAAATGTACTACGATCAGAGAGAAAAATTGAGAAACAGAAAATCTCACTCAGTACAATCACGAACGTGATAATTCACGGTCTAATGAATGGTTGGCAATCGCTCTGTACCACCGGCTGGAACGAAATAATACAAAGTCAAGGTCACGTCACCAAAATGCTTCTGTCAGAAACACGCCCCAGAAAGATCTTTGTGATGGGTCCTGGTAGGTTATCTGGAGGAGCCAGATCTGTGATAGATTCTGAGCGACTCGTGAGGGATGAATATCTGCGTTGGAAATTGCTGAAGCAGCTCCTCAGCCCTTTCGCGGGGGTGATTTATCCACGAGCGTAGCGATTCTTCCCGTGTCATCAATGCCTTAGCACGTAGGGCCGACTGACGCCACCGTTCTGATTTCAGTTATGCTCCTCCCAGAGAATGGAACACCGTGGTCTGACCTTGGTCTTCCAATCTTCAAGTACCGAGTAGTCATAGCCGTAGCTGCTCGTTTGCTAACCAACAGTCCTACTTTGTTCCAGAATGATGCTTTGCCCGTTGGTCATATCGGTGTGTTTGGGGCTGAGTACTCCGGTGTATTCGACCGTTGATTTCGCTCCCTTGGAAACGAAAGCTTCAACGACCAAAGAAACGACAGAACTCACGTCGAGCACGATCTGCTCTCGTTGTACATGTATTCAGCGCGAAATCGTCTGTCGTGGTGAGAAACCGGTAGAAGTGATTGGATAGTAATTGCAATCGATATGAATCAAGGCCCATTTGAATCGCTGGAAGTGGTTCGTACTGCGCACCATGATCACTCAGTGTCTCCAGATGAGCCTCACTCCTCCTGACATTATACCACTTATCTCGACTTTAATTGCCCCATTACCCATTACAGGGAGGCCGAAACTGATGGACCTGGCGAATCTCCAGATTCCGGCCAACTACAATAAGCTTGTCCTCTCGTCCAACCAGCTCACCCGACTTCACCCTGACAGCTTTAAATCCGGCATTGATCTTACTGAAATCGACCTCACCTACAATGAGATCGGCTTCATCGCCGGCAACAGCTTCCAGCCGTTCAAGAACTTGACGACGTGAGGAACATTGAATTTGGTTTTCCGCGGCATTTCGACTTCCGCTCGTTGACTAAGAATCTCTCGCGGATTTCATCGCCGGACATACATGCGGAGCTTCGTTAAATTATTGCAGGTTATGCCTGGCGCACAATAACTTGGTCACGCTGGAGGATGACAGTTTCGCCGGCCTCGAGAAACTTCAGAAACTCGACATTTCGCACAACAGATTCAAGATCTTGAACCCGGCGTATTTTGAAAAACTTGTGAATCTTCAATTCCTGATCCTTGACTCAAACGCTTTGGTTCATCTCCACGGCTCGATCTTCAAGAATAACATCAAACTCACCCACTTGTTCATGGTCAGTTCCGAGCCGACTCAGATCGACTCTTGCGGCGTCGAGGGATTAATATTCAAATACTCAAAATAGCAAGATTCGTATCCCGTTCGAAGGGATGTCTCGCGAGATCTCTCTCCCCTATGTCAGACAATGGTTGTCAGTAGCTGGATAATTTCTATTCGCTTTTCCGACAGAACAAGATAAGCGCCTCTCAACTAGAAGACGACATCTTCCAATACACTCGAAACCTAAGGGTGCTCCATCTGGAAGACAATTTCCTGGAAGATGTTCCCCGGAAGGCGCTCGCGAAGCTGCCCTTGCTCGAGGTTCTCTATCTGAGCGGGAACCCAATCCACGTCATTTCGGCGATGGCATTCCCTAGTGAGTTCTGGCAGCAGCCGTGAGGCCATGTGTCTACTAGAGCACTGTATGTGATCATCGAGAAATATTGCTCATGTTGATGAAAATCCATTGCAGAACTTCCGAATCTGCAAACACTAGTCCTGGATGGCATGTACAATCTGGGATTGATTGACATTTACGGCTTCACGGATCTGCCACTTTTGAGAAACTTGAAGATACAGCATTGTACGAACCTGGTCTATATCGACCCGCAAGCTTTCAAGTGAGTTCCCGAAACGTCCTCTTGTGGGTCATGCATTCGACGTTTCGGATAAGATTACGCTTCGCTCGGAACTTGGCCCTCTCCTAATTAGTGCTCCCGTTCCTAGCCTCGACATACAGAAAGAGCACTCGAGATACCCGCAACTGAAACATTTCGTTCTCCACGACACGAGTGTAACGACCCTCAGTGAAAAACTGCTCAACTGGGACGATCTTGAAGACCTCGACATCTCTGGAAATCATTTCCATTGTAATTGCAATCTGAGTTGGATAATCGACGTGGTTCGGAAGAACGACGTTAACAACAATATCAAGTGAGTTGCCTTCCCCTCTGTTCGAGTTCATATAACTAGCCAATCTGGTGCTGAGAATCAAAGACAGGGAGAAGAAAAACCGTCGCCTAACTTCAGTCCGTCCTTCGCAGATGCCATAGTCCGGAAGCTCTCGCCGACCGGGTTATTGGACGCATTCAGCCCAAAGAAATGATATGTGATAATTACCACCCGATGAAGGACGATGGAGAGTCGGCACCGTATCACGAGCGTGCTCCTGTCATTCCGGAATCACGAAGGTTCTCCCTGCTGCATCTGTCCGTGATCGTGATGCTCAGCGTAACCATCGCGCTCAGTGTGCTCCTCGTGCTCTCGATACGGCGACGGGGCTTCATCTACAGGAAATTAGGCGGCAAGCCTGCCCCGATGACTTATGCCGGGGGCGAGAATGTCCTCTACATGCGAACGACTATCGACTGCTAGGACCCTAGCTCGTGCTCATTCTCTTCCCGAAATCGAAAGTTCCGATCTTGGATCATGGAGTCGGATGCGACGGGAAGAGCGCTCGACCTGCTCCAGGAGCTATCATGCCATCTGATCACTGGAACAATTACACCCATTGATATTTGTTTCTCTTTCGGCACCTACATCCGACACGTTTATCGTCACTTCTCCGAAATGACGTGAGCCATTGGGAATGAGGAGAGTTTCCCAAATAATGTCGGTCACAAGAAGCGCTTAGTGTTGTCGCAAAGTTCCCATTCGCTCACATGCGGCAAGAAGAAGAAATGCTTGTAACTATTGATCCACTGGGCACGTTAAGCAGACCGTTGGAGGGGAATTTTAAGGACAAAAAATGTAGATTCTGATTCGGAAGTCGATGGTTGTACAGTCCGCCGTTGATCCTCAGCGAGTCTCCGGAATTTGTAAAAAGATAGGAACTATTTATATAAGTGGAATAAGGGCTCTTACCTCGCTGGTTCGCCCCGCCTCACAGTGATGAATAAAACCCCGAACGTGAAAACTCGAGGTAGTGCTGATTGATGATCTGTCGTACTCTGGTGGAGATGAATTTGGAATCGTGTACTGGTATCAATAGACTGCCGGTATGCAGACAGAAAGAAAAGATCCCGGAGATTCTGATGCGATCTCTGGATGTAGGTTTCGACCTCTGTTTTTTTCCAATTTTTTTATTGAACATGCATAAATTCACAATGAATATTTCCCCTCGCGTAGGATGGAGGGGTATGGCAAACACGGTCACGACTCGCAACACTGTCTGAGCCCCAAAGAAAGTTGGATTCTCGACCGACGCATCCCGGAATTACCTTGAAAAATCACAGGATAGCCGTAAGCTGTGCTAGGGAGCGGCACTTTACTCTCACTCAGATATCATGGCTCACGTAACACCGGCTCACCTAATAGAATAACTGGTACACGGCAGGAGGTCGAGTGAATAGTCTGTGGTGCGGGATCTGAGGAGGCGCTCCGCTCTTGTTGTAGAAAGAGCGGATTCGGTGACGGCCTTCCTCGTCACGTTCGTGCTGCCATAACTCGTGCATGAAGCGGAGCTGGAAAAGAGGATTCGTGCCTGAACCGACCGATCGCAGCCGGAGGTTTCTTGGTTCCACTCGATACGGGCTCGGGTCAACTACGTCTTTCGGAAACGGATTTCGGACAATATTCCGGTACTTTCTCACAGAAGGGAGGGTCACCAAGGGCGGGAGAATTCCGGAAATAAGTATGTATTAGTCAGTGCATATTACCCTTCGGTTTTCCATGAATTTTCCGTGCGCCGCATGCTGGGAGTGCAGTTTCACTGGTTCGATGGGGTACATCCTCCGGGAGAAGGGCACATCGTTCAGGTGGTATCCGCGAACGGAATGGAGGGGCATGTAATTCGGGGAATGCCTACGAGCAGAAACCATGATTCTAAGAAAGGTGTCTCACGACATGTATCGCACCGAGCATTCTACCGAATTCGCGATGATTACGTTTTCTCGCATGCACCTCCTAAGAATAGCGGAGCAGCCCCATTGAATAGATGATCTCATCATCTACGACACCGTTCCGTTCCGAATCTCGAATGAGTACACCATTCGTAACCGGTGACAGTAAAAACCATTCGGACATTATAGAAACTGAGTCGGCTCACCATCCCACGAGCCTGTCGTGCACGTCGCTCTTGTGTCGGAGTCTATCTCTCACGAGTCGAGACGAGGTCTTCGAGTAGATATCGTCGTGGAGACGCATGTCATCGCGGAACACGTTGAATCTTTGCGTCAATTGATCGCATTTGAATATTATTCAGATCCCCGAGATATTTCCCAGGGTCTGTGTCAGCACTTAGGCTCGTATAATTCCGAATATATGCTTCGAAATACGCCGAGGTATGTGAGGTATGTGCGCCCATATGTACCTGTCTGGATAGCTGTAGCCATACGATGAAGTCGACGAAGAGCAGTAAGCTGGACGACCCCGTCTGATATTCAAATCGGTGATAGCATCTGTGTACAATGCACTGCCGATCAGGTAGTTCCGGTGGTAAATGCGAGGCAGGAAGCGCGGTCGGCCGTACATCGTGTGATTTGTTCTACGTCCCTGAAAAGTCGAATTCGGACTTCACGCCCAGGCCACTCGCCCTCCGATTGTCCACGTGCAGACAAAAGTGAAAAACATTGTACGAGTCGCGTGTGATGAAGCGGCGTTTTTGGCAAAGTCGCCTCTTTCGATCTCGCAGTGGCCAAAGTATCGGATAAGGTATCCCAAGCCAGGCTGAGCGCTAGTGTGCTAGTCTGAGGTATATTCGTCGAGATGGCGACCACCACGATCTCGGTGTGCGCACTGCCCCCTGGCAAGCTGCCATTGCGGTAACTGTTGGACTTCACGCTAATGTCAGGACCATCTCCTGTCTGCCAGGGAGGGCTCGGCAGAGCCAGCCAGCCAGCAAGGGCCTCTGAGAGATTATTTTATTCGCAGGAAAAAGTTATCTAGGCTCGACGTGAGACAGGTGGTGTGACAGACCTCTCATCCGGAGGGAGGAGCTTAAGAGACATGCCCTCATGCATCCATGGGCTCCCAGTAAACCATATAGCTCTCAATCACTCAAGATTCCATAATATTTTGGAACGTGTACCGCATTTCTCACTTCGGAAATGGTTCATGACAGGTCCTGGCGTGCTATCGGGGTGAATTCCGCCGGTCGGAACGATGTTTTCCGTACGAAGCGGCGAATTCCTTCGCGCTTAGTTTCGCCGCTCAAATTCGCACTCAATAGGGAAATAGAAGAGGCGTTCGAGAGTTTGGACCTATTCGGCCTCGACCTGCTGACTAGCTCGTACCGTGTCTCACGGTGCTGCTGCCGCTACTGCCGCTGCTCTCGAGATCAGCCTTTGTTCCGGAAATGATTTTCAACACTGGGGTCGGCGACGCGACCAATGTGATTACTGCATTCAAATAAAAGCCTCAATGAGCTTCTGGTGCTCCCACAATCAGACAAGTAACGCTCGACGCGTCCTGACCGGTCAGCAGTTCTCAGAATAATTATCCGTCTCGGTTCCGGAGCACCTAGAGCCTAGAGCTTAGAGCTTGCGGGATGAACGGCCCCGCAAAAGAGCCGACCACGGGGAGGATCCCCGCCGAAATCTCCGATGGGAACGAGATCATATCGCAGCCGTCGAACCCAAATTCCACGATCTGCTTGCGAATCCTCGCCCATGAACGACAACTTGATCAGGGATCTGTAGATGGAGCAAACCCATCTTCTGGGAAATCCCTCCGAACACAAAATCTCACTCTCGTACTTCATCGAAATTTAGGACGACTCACCTTCGAACCTGAGAGACTTCCTGAAACCGACGATCAAGAGCAGCTATAGCGCTCTACTGAGTGAGCTGACAGACTCTCTCCTGGTAAGCCAAGGCCACGAGAGTCTCCGGTGCCCTTTCAGATACACTCTCTCCCCCATTTTTAATTCTTCGTCGATCTGTAAACACGGGTACGGATGGTGTCTCAAGATGGAGAGGCGATCTTCCGGAAAGTGCGGAGCCGCGCCACTCCCTCCCGAATCATGCGAGGACTCCGATGCGCGACATGTCTTGACAATGGTTTCGAGAACCCTCATACGAAGCGTCTATCTAGAACATCGACTAATCGTAATGTTCGCCAATCGCCGCCTGCCGACACTGATGAGGAGTCGAAGCACTCGAAAAGTTCCTGCCATCATCAATCCTGGCTCCTCGACAGGGCATCACGTTGAAGACCTTCCACTGTATAGACTCTTTCGGCTGTTTTCCCGAGTGTCTGAAGTAGCTCGACCATGTCATGTGTAATGCATCCGAGATCATTTCTTAGACTTAGGATATTCATTCGATTCAGGAGGTTTCTTTTATTAGTGTCGTTGGTGATCATGGGTCCTCATTCATTAGCGATTCTTGAGTCTGTAGGGATCGAGCCTAGAATCTGAGCGAATCGCCAGACGTCCATGAACGAGTTATACAAAGGACACGGAGTGATCCTGATCACCCCAGGCTGGCGTACGTCACACTGCAAAGGAAAAGTGTTGGGATCGCTAATGTCCTCACGGGATTATGCGAAGCGCCACCCCCCGACAAGAATTTCCGAAAAAAAATCCGGGAACAAAATGGAGTCGCAATATTCCACGCACCACAACGCCTCGTTCCTGGAGTAGACTATGTAGGTTCTCGGGTGCTGACGAGAGCTTCACACACAGCATCGAACCCCGCCGATTTGGATCGCGGGGCGTGATTTGTATCAGAGGAAGACCCGAGGAACTCATTTTTAAAAGTAAATATTCTAAAAACCCCGTCAAAAGCCGCTGCTTGCGGAGACGTTTTCCCTCACACGCTCGGTCGAATATATCCAGTGACGCCATCATCGGAGCGATGAGCACGGGCGGTGCGTTCGAAAGTTTGTACATGTCGGCGGAGTTCGGTACAGGCTCAAAATCTGCATCGATATCTGATATTATTCAAGTTTCCAGATGAGATGTCCTGGCAGAAGCTCAGAGAGAAGACGGAGCAAATCAGAGTCCTACCCTCTCTTACCCCGCTTCATTAGGAATTTCGTCGCAGTATCGTTGCCCCACCATCCATGCACGGCGGGAAGTTTTTTGAGATGGCGTCTGTGGATAAAAGCCGCCCCTGCTCCACCCGCCCCACTGTTGAGATACTGAAGTGCAAAATACCATGCATAAGATGCGGGAATTAGAGGATGGGCATGGAAGGCCTCAAGAGCACGATCCCCCGCGTGAAGATCCCGTGGGAAATCCGTGAACTCGTATGGGCTTCGCTCTTGAGGGCTCAGATGACGTCAGCCGCCGATCACGCGTCCACCCTTGGTAAAGCTCGTTTCCCCCAACGCACCTTATACGAACACCAGACGGCGCAATCGACGTCCCACTCGTGAAGCTTCAAGGTGACGTTTCCGATCGAGTGGGCGGCATCGCACAACACCAGGCAGCCCTGATATGGAGAAATATTTTACGCATCGATTTTATCTATATACACGTTCGTGGTGGAGAGTCTGGTCCTACATGAGATTCGACTGACCTGTTGATGAGCTACCTCCGTGAGCATTCCGATATCGAAAACTTGACCCGTGTAGTATTGGGTAGTCGGGAGTACGACTAGAGCTATTCTGGACCCTTCGCATCTCAAAACCTGAGGAATAAGCCAATCCAGTCTCGCGTGTATGTCCTGCCGACCTCGCCCGGCCAGAGAACCAGCAGTGACGTCAGCCCCCTCCCCCATGTTGAACTAACCTCGACAATGTCTTCCTCGTCGATGATATCGCTATCACCCCGCCCTTCCAACTGGATCAATCCTTCTTCAACACTGTATCCGTGGAGTGCCAATTGAGATTTGACCGCGTACTGGAGAAGGAATCGAAAGATTTTCCCTCTTGGAACTTCCCCGAGTCTGCGACTCTCATACATTTGATTATGCTTGTTTTCGGCCGTATTGCGTATTTGTGCGGACAAACCATATCAGATGGAAAAGCTGCTCCCTCGATGAGAATTTTGTACCTCTCGGATGACGGACGATAGAAGTTCAGCTGGAAACCACACGCGATTCGTTTTTCGTAGCTTGCAGAACGGTTCGCTTAGGACTTGGTTCGTTGAGGAAGAGGTTTGCTCGGTGGAGGGACACAAGTTGCACATCTATGTGGATGATTGATGATATATCTTGTTCTCTCACCATGAGAAGATGTAGATTGACGGTCAATCCGTTCATGATGACCACTTCCTCGGGATGGCATCCTATGAGATCATAATAAATTCAGCTCTCAGTCTCAATACCGATATAAGACTTGAAATGAGCTTGACGCACCGGCTAGTCGAGCCATTTGATTCTTCGGGGAGAGCTCACAATATGCTGCCTTGAGGTATCCGTGAGCGTGATGTTCGACGCCCCTGTAAATGTTCGAGGAACAACCAATTATTCACTGGTATGACGTTTGCTTCTCGCCATCGCCACCCAGGCGGATAATTTATTGTCGCTCGATAGACATGAGAGGTGGATCAGCTGTCCGACGATTTGCCTATTTCAAGAAGAAACTCTCGCCTTGTTGTGAATCAATTCCCTCCCTGTTTTACGGTGCCATTTTCCGGAGTTCGCGCTATGTAGATGGACGGAACTCGACCACAGCTGCTCTGACTGACAGCTCATCACGGCTTCCGGGAAGGGAACTTACATCTGAGCCCAAGATTCCAGAACTCGATTAATATTTGAGGATGCTGATCGCGGCATCAGGCCGAGAGAATGCCCACAGAAGTACACGCATTCCTCATCACTTTTCTCGGCAGTGCAGGGCAGGTCCTGGAATGCACAGGAGAAATGTTAGCTCTCGCGGAAGGCTTGCCTGTCTAACGTACGGCTCGACTTCATCCTGATGCGGGCAAACTTGCGAGAACATATGTATGTCTGTGATGCGAATGCCTCCAGTCTCTCACCTTCATTTTCGGGTAGCGGAACTCTTCCCTGAGATACCTGAGCTCATCAGTTTCATCCATAGCGCGAGCGAACGCCTCAGAGTTCAGAGGATAACCCGTTCTCGACGCGTGACCGCTCAGCTCGGCCAAAAGCTTTTCCTGAATCAGAGCAAGTATCGATTGAGTTCAAGGTGACAGTTTCCTATTTGTGAATTAAAATTCGGATGAGCCTTGGCTACGAACCTCCATCCTGTTCGCAGCTCCTGCACGACGAGATCTGCAAGTGCGATGCCTGCTCAGTCGGCCGTAGACTATGTTCTGCTCTGTCGTTCGGCAGGCTCGAGATCGAATAACGACCCACGTTTGGGATCGATGCCAAGATATTTAAAAGTTTACGATTCCGGCAATCCGCGAGAGCAGTGATGGCCGAGAAGATAAGTTACGCGGTCCGAGACGCTCCAAGAGTTTTGTCAATTGATATCCGCAGTCGAAACTCTCCTGGATTGTCCCCAAGGTCGGAGACGCAGCATCTCGACGTCGACAGACAAGAAGTTGTAAAGCGAGGAAGCACGGGCACAAAAGGGGAATACCTTGAGTGAGGCGGTCTTCAAGGCCGCGCTGTAGCAAATCCGAGCACTGATCATCAGGTCCACAGGTTCAATCTGATTCGTCAGACGGGCTCCATGGAAGGTGCTAAATATCTGCGATCCGGAACTTGCTGCCGCGACGGGCGGCTCGGTGGTAGGCCAAACTGACTGCCCCCTTTTCTGCTTGAGAGACGCTCTGCTTGGAATGCGCGTTTCGGCTATTCGCCACTGCTGCTCGCATGCTGATTCCTCAGTTTCTCCGAGTCGAGACCTCGGTCATGAAGCATATCAGCCCCATCAAGTCGTCCTCGCCAGGATACCGCCCGGCTTGAATGGAGGCAGATACCTCTCCGTTCAGCTCGGAGTCCCGACCTTATGAGAAGTGTTCCACGGAAACAAATTAACCAGAGTAGATTCCACACCGTCAAGGGGGGAAGCGCAAGATCTACGGAGTCAGAAATCCGTCACAGCCGTGGATCAGCGCTGAGTTTTCACTGCACTGGGGGGGGGGAAATATTCAGCTTGTGATCTTCATCATCCTTGTCAGGAATCGTTGTTTCGTGATTGGGATCTTTCTCCGGGGCTCTCTGATACGATCGGCTTCTGTCGGATTCTGAGGAAAATAGGTTATCCGACTTTGATAGAAAACCGGAAAAATCAAGAGAGGCGGAACTTTCTCTACCATCGTTTCCTCTCCATCATATCATACCACAGTAGCACCACGGAAAAGCCAAATTATAGGACCGTCGCCTTACCGCGGAGTGAGTCGAGACCGCGAGTAAGACGAATCACATGGCTCTCGTCGTACAGGAGAGCTGAGCGCACAACTCTCTCGGGACGGTCTGAAAGATCTAGAGCTGACGAATGAGGCTGGAAAGAGGAGATATTGCGTTGAGCTCACGTGTTGCTCATCTCCACGGGGATACCCAACGAATGCGGAAATCCTTCGAGGTCTAGCTATTTAGAAGGATTGCAATCGGATTTCCAGTGATCGGTATCCTTTCTTCGAGCTCCCATACTGGGAAAATTCGTCCCAGGCTGTATACTCCCACCTCCTGAGCTCTCCCCTTTCTGACCGAGACTCTAGGGACGACAGGCAGATCGCTCCGTCTGACAGTGCGGCGCTAGTCAACACCCCCTCTGTTCCGCAGTCCTCTCGGAGCCTTGGAAGACACGGTTCGAAACCGAAAGGAAAGAAAGTTCATCTCCGCAATTCCACCGCACAGAGTATCCGGACTGCCGCGCCATATTGGGTTCTTCCTCTGGCACGAAGGAGGGAGCTGCGGAGCCGGATTGCCCCATGTAGTTCACCGAACCCGCAAGTGGAGTATTGTGAACAGCAAGTCTCGGTTCACCGCTCCGTCCCGCGCGGTATGCAACCGTCACAACTCGAGGGCATCTGCGAAGCTCGGCGCATCCGCTCCTCATGATCAATGCATAAACAAAGTGCGTCATGTGAAAGAGCAGCCGATTTGTTCAATGCCTGAATGGCAGGCAGCGCCGGCTCGAGCTCCCGCTCTGGGCCGTTCTGCAGTGAGACGTACTCGAACCCGGGCATGTCGGCTCTGCGTGCCCCATCCTGGACCAGGAGGATTTTTTTCATCGGGATTTGAGCCGTGAAAAGCACTTCCCGATTCCGATGAATTCATCTACTTCGGAATGGGCGGTGCGTCATGACATGACTCATGACTCTCTGAGCAGGCAGCCGATTTTGAAGAATTCCGCTTCTGCTGCCGAGTGTGCGAGAGGTCTACGGACACTTACTTCCTGGCAGCTAAAATTGTGAGCATCCTCCTACATTCGGAGCGAGTTGTCTCAGTCATGAATCTAAAATGGGTTCTCACGAAAACAGACAAATTCACCTTAGCTCCTCCGTTGTCGAAGGGCCTGTCAGGACTCATCGATGTTCCACACTATGATATCATTGGCTCACGGACAGTCAATCTACAGGTGTATCCTTTGGGTTATCATCTGCAGGATCCCGGTAATCGCAACGCACAGATCGCAAGCCTCGGTCTAGCCCACCGCAACCTCGTGGAACTATGTGAGCATGGGCTGAATGATGCGCACCAGTGCCTATGAAGCTTCCTCTTCCTTTCGTTCACCACACCCAATAGCTGCGTTTCGTCTCAATAATACATGAATTAGCTGAGCACGCGAAATGCCCCGATTCGACATGCCACTTTTTTATATACAGATTCTCCGTCCGAGCAGGCACTCCGCAGAAGTGCGATCGGTGAGCACATAATCTCGGTTAGCTCCGTAGAATTGTTCATAACTTCAGTTCTCTGTCGACGCAGATTATAATCAGTAGATGATAGACAATGCTCCGCCGACCGAAGCCCCCCCATTGCTGATACTCAAGACGTAAACTCGCTCGAAGGCTGCAGGTAATTCGACACCGGGGTCGACCGCGAGCGAGCCATCACATGGTGCATCATGGCAGGGGGCACATAATTTGTTATCGTCACGTCGACTCGCTTCCCGGGAGACCGTGATCGACTGCTCAATACAGATTTATATTGACTCAGCTGTAGTCGGACGTCGGACGACACCGATGAGACCCATGTTTCCCAAGGGGAAGTCACTGGCCACGAGATTCGGAGCAGAGACCTCCCGCCCGAGACAGCGTCTTGGTGCTTCATGCCTATCTGCATGCAGCGTATGAATGGCTGTCTTATAATGATAAGTGTATGTGAGCTCGACGAGACTCTCCCTAGGCAGCCAAAGGTTGATCTGTGACTTCTGGAGAAAGACCACTTAGAGGATCAGGGGAGAGCTGGAACGGGGGATCGAATAAGCCGAAACTTGAACAACAGATCGACTTCTTCCTAGAGATCAGACCCTAGCAGGAGGAATTACGACGCTGAAGGCTGTAGATAAATACGTAGTCGCGAATCTTCAGCGAATCGTCGCGTGCATGGAGCGCCAAACATGGCCCGACGTCCTCCCCTGCCTCCAACGATCTCGGTGTGGGGGCACGGCCCTTGTCGAACGTATAATGCGAATTTCTGCTTCTTTTGAGGGTGAGCTAGGAATATCCTTGCGACCGCGGCATGTTTTGTTCGGGAGGATCTAATTACTTCTGCTTCAAAGGTCCTTTCATTGATCTGAGTCCGCTCCTTCGTACGCCATTTCCTTGCTTGAGACTCTCATCTACCCGGAACTCCGTATTGGCACGATTTTGGCCTCGACGCCAATATGGCGCTTCCAAATACGCGATCCATCGATCACGAGGACTCTCTCCGACGCTCTTGGAATCGCGAACTTCTCTCGAACCGAACCCCTCTCGGTTCGGTTCGAAGTTTACTCGTGCTTTCGGGCATTGCATCCCGCCTCTAACGAGCTTTCCATCTATGGAAGACAATCCTACACCCCACGAAGTTCAGCCCCCGGAAACGACAGGAGCGCTGAATACGTACCAGCATACCCGGAATTCTTCACACTTCGAGACCATTAAGGATGAATGAAATGAACGAGAGCCCTCGGATCTCCTTCTCGAATAGAAGTCTGCGGTCGCGTTGCATTGATTCGATCCCATTGGCAAAATCCTCTTCATGAATGAGTTTTCGCTCTTCGACCTACTACATATATCTAGAAATCCAAGGAGTGGCTTTTCCTAAGCCTCGGCGTGCGGTGCGGTTCAGTTCGAACATCGTTTGATATTTACGTCTCGTTTTCTGAATCTTCCTCCATCAGTGTTCCAGATACGGGATATGCGCGGATGCAAGAGGCGCGAACGACCACTCAGCTCAAGAGGGGTCCGAGTTCGAGGGCTGGAAATTACTCCGCCGATTCGGAAACTGATGGAGGATTCAAGAGACTAAAGGGGTAAACCTCACGCGCGCCGCAACCACCAGATGTGTGGGAGTTCTCCACCGGAGCGTCAGAATTAGGTTCTAATAGTGAGAGTCCCAGGGCGGAAACCGTGAGGGGAACATTAGCTGAAGCCACAGCGAGAGTGATTTGATGAGACTGCCTTCGTTTACTTGCCCTCGCGAACGCGAAGACGTTTGTGAGGAGAAGGGATATATCGTGAGCCCTCTCGGAGCGACGGATGAGTGTTCATCAAAAGATCCAAACGCAGAGACGTTCATTTGCATCTCTGCTGGAACTAGAGGTCACAAACTCAACGTCACACGACCGAGGACGAGTTTTACGCCCCTTGAGTTTCGGTCGAGGGATCGTGGGCGAGTGCTCGCCGGAGCTCGAACGCTAGCGCTCCGGATACTTTAGGCTCACAAAATTTCACAGCGGGAACACTTTCCTCTCTGTCAGGGTAATGGTCTCGAGAATTTCGAAACATCAAACTCGACAGCCTCCACTGATGATCTCGCCAGACTCAGCTGGAGTGCGAATTGAGAGTTCGAGGGAACGCCACCTGTAAGCCTCTCGACGAGAGCCGCAGCAGCAACACCAGCAGCAGCGGCGGCAACGAACAAACACGCTCGGAATCTTCACTCCACTAGCATTGGATCAAATTGGAATACGTTCTCAGCAGGCACGAGAGGAGACCGGCGAGATCAGCGTGACGCTTTGTTTGTTCTTTTTTTCTCTTCTGAGAGAACTTACAGCTGTTGTCTCCGCGAGAATCCTTAGGGCTATGTGAAGTGGCCCCGCTGGGTATCCCACGCAAGTTGTCATGGAGAAACACTACTCAGGAGCTTCTCCATTGTCTGCTCCGAGCTTCCGGCGCAGAAACGGAGCTCATCCGACATCGATCATGCTGCGGAACATTCCAATCCATTCTCGTATATCCGGTTATCTGGAGCTTTGTTCTGGTTGATCTCGGAGTTTCCAGCGGAAGAAGAGGGAGGAATAAGAACTCGGAATAATTTACCGGTCCCCCGAGAGAAGACCCCGCTGCATGGTCGAGAGGCGACGGCGGGAACTTTTATGGAGTCCTCGATAACAAAGCACCGGAATCGCATGAAATTCCACGAGATGACGTGGAAAAGTACCTAGAGGACCGCATCGGGTGTCTCTCACGAACAGCTGGCTGGATTTCCTCCGCTTCAACATTTATGTGCATATGAATGAAGCGGACGTCATTCGGTGCCGGATCGCTCCCACACATTTCCAATTTTTACAAGCAAACACATACTGACCGAGTCCCTATTCTCGTCAATATCCGCCGTCGTCGCCGCAACACCAGCGGCCATCGCCATCGTAACCGTGCGGGCTCCCGCAGAAATACGTTACTATCCTTCACTTTATCCGCCATCATTATTCTTATGTTATTATCATTATTATCGTTATTCTCATTATTACCGAAAGACCAGCGATGTTCGATGAGTCGATTGTATAACCGGTTCGCGCCGTCCGGGGGTAGCAGAGGGGCAGGAATTGGAAAAGAGGGCAAATAGAAACCCGATGGCAGTCGATATCAATCAAGATTTCGTCATCCCTCTCCCGAGGTCGGCTTTCCAAGAGTGTCCGCTACAACATTGGGCTCACTCGAATCGAATACCCGACGCGAGTGGAGCTGCCGCGTCTGCGGAGAGATTCACACAAGTAACCGATGGTCGAATTCGGGACGATGCGATTTTTTCCCGTCGGTAGACTAGCGCGCCATGCGTGATCAGATGTCAGATAGTACTTTGCGGGTTTGAAAAATGGATGAATGAACGAATGAATGGAAGAAGCGAGAACCAGCCTCTGCATGGTGAAGCGGTCGGACGACCGACCAATCGACCAACCAACTGTTACACTTACACCGTTGTCGAACGATCAGTGAGTCGGCGTATCGGGCAGCGGAACGACCGACCCGACAAGCGCGAACCGACCATCATCACCGACAACGATACGACAAGCTCCAGAAGCCATCGTCGCATGGAGCGTAAGGAACCCTTCCACGGAAGCAAGAACTCCACCCTCGGTGATTCAAGAGCACGCCATGCTCTCTTCGAAGCTCTCTTATCGTACCAGATAGGGCACTACCGTTACACTTCGATTGAACGACGAACCTCTCGCCCTGAATGCTTCTGTCCGGCCGAAGCGTTTGCTCGCGTCCGGTCGGGAGCTCCTCCCGTCGAATCGGCGAATATAATTCGCTGGATTGACGGGAGAACGTTTTCCTCCCAACATTCGTCACCGTCTAGCGGAACTTCACGGTGCCAGCGGACTGATATTCGTACGACGAGTGTATGTCTGTCGATACCTCGAGGACTCGCTCGGCTCATATCGATCCTGAGCCGCTCGTGGTCACTCCGTCGAACTGAAGCGTTCGGAAAGCTCATCGGAACTCGGTCGATATAAGAGCCCAACACAGACATTCTCCAGGATCGATCAGCGGGCAGTCATCGTTCATCCGACCAGGTCGTGGGAAGGGACCGAGGGATGTCAGTGGAGGAATGTGTTCTGACGTACGTGGAATGGATCTTCCAGATCGCGGAAAATATTGGATAGGCCACGACCTGGGCCCCAAGGCCGACGGCGAGCCTGAGGCACCGCATGCAAAACCTCCGAGCTACAAAAGCGAAAGCTGTCTGTTTGCGACTCGGAATCCCCTGCCTTCCCGACGGCGAGCCTACTTGGACGTCTTCCGAGGAGGCAACGGCGAGAAGAGAAAGTAATTCCGGAAGATCCTCGGAGGCCACAGGTGGCTCCGTCATCGTCTCCATTCCTCCATCTTGCTCAGAAGGAACTGAAGCAAGTCGAGCAGGATCGCACCTCATTCTGTCGCCGAAATATCGCGCCGCCCGCCGTTGAGGATTCATGGGCTGCGATCATATCTTGATGATGGCTTGAATGTCGACTTCATGCGTCGTCCGGGGCATTGCCATCGCGGAGACGACTCTGGACGCAACGGTCCGGCTACGGAATCGCCGAGGTCGCCCACATCGACCGCGCTTCTGGCCATGGGAGTCGGAAGTCGCGGAAAGCAAGAATCATCGGTCGCCCGTCTCAACTGCCATGGGGAAGGGGCAGGCGGGCACGCAGGCAGGCAGGGAGGTCTAGGCAGCGGCACGGCGGCGGTGCTCCTGGTGGTGGCGGACGGTCTGCCGTCTACCTGTACTTTAGTGTGAGCGGGCGGGCGGCTTA